ACACGCACAAAGAAAAACAAGTAGATAGAATAGAAAAAATAGAAAGCTAGTGTTTTTTTTGTTTTGTTTTTTAAATAAAAAAATAAAAAAGAAGATAAATGTAGATAAAGTAGAATTAAAATATAATAAGAAAGTGCTAGAGTTAGAGGGTCAAATAAAAGTGGAACAGATGTGTTTTTAGTCGTTTCTTGAAGATGGTTAAGGACTCAGCTGCTCGGATTGAGTTAGGCAGGTCATTCCACCAAATCAAATAAATAAAATAAATTGGTGGGCAAATAGAAAATGTTTAAGGAAATGCTAAACTCATCCTAACTATTTTCCTTTGATCACTCGTTTATTTCTGAATGTAGTTCCACATTTTTTCCCCTCTGCACAACATGTTAATGAGAGGGTGTCAATTATGCAAGAGTAGGCGGATCGTGTCTCACGCGCTTGAGCGTTTGCCTGCGCGTGCGTATTAACTTCATCAGTCAAGGGGACTGATTATTATCTCACACTTTTTCATAGGGCTAGTTTTGTAGTTATAATCACGAGAGAGCTAAATCATAAAAGATTTGAAGTGGCCAATGTAAAATATTAATGCTTGCATAGCTCTTAATTGCAATACTGAACCGTTATTTGCTTAATAAACATACTTTTGTCGCCTGTATTTTCTGTTCTGATAACTAATGGGGAAAAACGGTCTGTTCCTCGCTTAAACCACTTCATACCAGTTCTCACGATGACCATGGGATACTGATATTACAGTTGTCTGTAGCTGGAGACTCAATCGGGTTACAAAAAATGAGGTCAGGAAACGACACCTCTGGCCATTTCTTTGGGTCGTTTGTAAAGTCACAGATGCTGTACGGACAATACAGCTCAGTTTTCTATGTATCTTGCTCTGTTAAACAGAAAAAGTGACTTTACGTAGGCTATACTGGATTAACACCATGCATCTCCAGTCAGCGGGAAAGCCGCGCCCCCAGCTATCACAAGACCCGAGCAAGTCCATGGTTGACACCCTCTCATTAGCATGTTGTGCAGAGGAAAAATTAATGTGGAACTACATTCAGAAATAAACCAGTGATCAAAGGAAAATAGTTAGGATGAGTTTAGCATTTCCTTAAACATTTTCCATTTGCCCACCAATTTATTTTATTTATTTGCCTACTTTAATCATATTTAATTATTTCTATATGTATTTAAACAAGAATCTGTGTATTTATATAGACATTTATTTATTTATTTGCATATTTATTTATTTATTTGTGTATTTATTTATTTATTGTTTTTGCAGGTTTCGTTCTCCATACATTAAGGCTGCATGTATTTGACCAAAAATGCAGTAAAAACAGTACTATTGTTAATTATTATTACAAATTAATATAACGGGTTTCCGTACTAATCCTCTTCCGTAGTTTTCTATTTTTAATACACTTCAAAGTCAGATTTATTCCTGCGATTGCAAAGCTGAATTTTTATCAGCCATTACAGTCTTCAGTGTCACCAAAGAGAAATCGGATCTTTTTGTTTGTTTGCTTGTTTAAGAAATTAACGCTATAATTCAGCAAGGATAAAATAAATTAATACAAAAGTTATAGTAAAGGCGTATACTGTTACAAAAGATTCCCATTTTGAATAAATGCTGTTCTTTTTAGCTTTGATTATTCATCAAAGAATCCTGAAAAAAGTATCACAAGTTAAAAAAAAAGAAAAAAAAAAAAGAATTAAGCAGCGCAACTCTTTCCAACATTGATCATATTAAAATTTTAAAAAACATGGATAATATTCAAACTGAAAACCGTTATTTTAAATTGTAGTTATATTTCACAATATTACTGTTTTACTGTATTGTTATAAAAAAATGCATTGATGAGTATAAGAGACTTCTTTAAAAACATAAAAAATATTACTGATGCTAAACCTAGTGCACAGCCACGTGGTATTTAAAAACCACGTGAAGCATTATATTGAATTAAAGTAGCATATTTATTGAAAGTCTTTATACGTTTAATATTAAAATATTTTTCTTGACTTTTATTCCTCATTCTACCAAAACAACATTATCTCAAAATAAAAGACTTTTATTCTGCTTTGCGCCTGCGCGTGGATGAGGTACAAAGAAAGCTCCATCGACCTATAAGTGATGAGAAAGAAGAGGCGACGAAATCAGATATGATTTAGGTCATATCTAAGAAAAGGAACTATATATAAAATGCTTATAACATAAATGTTTGGGGTCATTAAGTTTTTTTGTGTTTTTTTTTTAGCAAAGATGCATTAAATTGATCAAAAGTGACAGCAAAGACTATATTCGTAAAATATATATATATATATATATATATTTAAATAAATGCTGTTTTTTTAAAACTTGCTATCAAATAAACTGTTTATAAAGAGAGAGAGAGAGAGAGAGAGAGAAATGTTGCTTGTTACTAGTATTTTATTTTAATTTTAATTTTTTACTAGTAGCCTAGTTAAAAAAAATAGCTAAAAAAGCTAAATAAAACTCAGCCTTGGTGAGCATAAGAGGCTTATTTCAAAAATATAAACATAACAGTGAACTGTAAATGTAGGCTATACAGCTTAAATAACGTGTTTTGAGAAATAACAGACTTCTAATTTGACCTCAGATGTCTTCACTGACCTTCATTTCACAGACTTTTTCATTAACTGTTCCCTGCTGGTGGAATGACCTGCCTAACTCAATCCGAGCAGCTGAGTCCTTAACCATCTTCAAGAAACGACTAAAAATACATCTGTTCCACCTTTATTTGACCCTCTAACTCTAGCACTTTCTATTCTATTTTAATTCTACTTTATCTATATTTATCTTCTTATTTGTTTTATTTTTTATTTAAATAAAATAACAACAAAAAACTAACAAACACTAGCTTTCTATTTTTTCTATTCTATCTACTTGTTTTTCGTTGTGTGTGTGTGTGTATAATATATGTATGTATGTGTGTATATATACAGGTACATCTCAATAATTTAGAACATCGTGGCAAAGTTCATTTATTTCAGTAATTCAACTCAAATTGTGAAACTCGTGTATTAAATAAATTCAATGCACACAGACTGAAGTAGTTTAAGTCTTTGGTTCTTTTAATTGTGATGATTTTGGCTCACATTTAACAAAAACCCATCAATTCACCCATCAATTCAATTAGTTTGTAAGTCGCTTTGGATAAAAGCGTCTGCTAAATGACTAAATTAATAAAAAATAAATGTCTGGGAATATCGAGTCGTGCGTTTGACCCTCACTGACCCATTCAGACGATTCAGCAGCGGTATACATTTGACCTGTGAGCGTGTAAC